TATATATTGGCCTACCTGGCGCTTTTCCTCATTCCCCAGACCAGACTCTCCCAAACCTCAGTGTGGACTCAGCTCTGTGACTATGAGGAAGAGAAGGAAGTCAGAAGAAGACCGCCCTGACTTTGAAAACAGGAAACTGTCTCCTGATGAGAAGTAAGAGTTGACAAAATGTTAAATGTTCCTTTCATGAGTAATCAGTGAGAAGATATGGTTTACTGCATACATAGTCTGTTGCACACTTCTGGCTTAATGGGCTACTCAATATGTAGTTGGATGTTGAGTCCGGATATTTGATTCTTAGACAAAGTTGGACAAACATAGGTTATTTTGTTTATTCATGGAACCAGTAAGTTTTACTTTCGGCAGCAACTGCTTTGGTATTACTTACTGTTGACTCCTCCTGCATGAAAGTCTAAAATAAATTAGTTAAAATTACTTTGGAAACTGTTTTTTTTTTTTATTTACTCCTCAAGAGTAATTTACAGTCTTTCTTTAATCTTTCCTTATATTTAATAATACTGTTGTGGTCTCGTACACCAAGGCTCTTAATTTAGTAATCAGTGCAATGAATTTAAAGGAATCAATCTAAATCAATTTAGTAATAAAATATTTGAAGAACAAACATGTTGGATTTTTGTACAAATTAGTTACAGTTTCTTCATGATGTCTCCACAGAGCTGATCAGGAGAGTTCAGATGTTTCAAGTCTTCTGCATCAAACTGATCTGGACTCAGTATTTAAGGTTTGTACATGTACACCAAACTCTGTTTGTAGATATTTTCATGTTGCACTTTTTAGAGTATCAAAAATATTTAAATGTCTGCCGGCAAAAGCAGTTATTTCATGTTTCATTATATTTTTTATTTATAGAGAACTTTTCAAATCAAAGCTTTAAAGTGCTCATGAGTTCAGATTGTATCATTTATTTTCCAGATGCTGGAGGAAAACATTATCACTTTTGTGAAGAAAGAACTAAAGAAGATGCAGAATGATCTGAATCCAGATTATTCAGAGTGTCAGAGGGATGACGAGGAGGTGTTGGACAGTGAGGAAGAGAAGCAGAGAAGGAGCAGCAGAGAGGCATTTCTGAAACTTGCAGTTAACTTCCTGAGAATAATGAAACAGGAGGAGCTGGCTGACTGTCTGCAGAGCAGTGAGAGGATTTCTCTTCATAAATTCAGTCTTTACAGGAATGAAACTGTCACATTTTCTATAATCATAACACTCGTGTTTCTGGTTCTTCCCTGTAGAAAGTCCTGATCC